CTAGACATTTGTCGAATTTGTCTATGCCAGTGTTTTTCAACCTGTGGGTCGCGACCCTCAGAGGGGTCGCAAAGCCTTATACGGGAGTCGCGGGTAGAAAGAAAAAGACAAGTGTTTGTAGGTCCTACACTACTAAAAAAAAAAAAAACTACAATTTCAGTGAGAAGGCTGTGCCTGTTTATTTTACAGTACAATTGGTTTTTGATCGACATTTAGGTCTCAACAGAAAGAAACTTAAATACGTAGTTTATAAAATCACTAACATAGTTTTAATATGGCCCTGGGAGTCGCCAGATTTTTTTAACTTGTAAAGGGCTCGCGTATTCAAGAAGATTAAAAAACACTGGTCTATGCGATGATCCGGCCCTGATTATGATGGAGAGAAAACAGAGTTTTGTTCATGACTCGAAGAAGATACACGGAATCGAATTTATAAACATTTTAATACGTTTATGCTTTTATTTTGACTTTCCATCCTTTAGGCACCAAAAAGGCCTTTTCTCCCTAATAATTACAGATTTGGCCAGACCTACGGGGGTCCAACATATCAAGAATAGACTACCCCGAAAAATTCCCAAAATTGTTTAGTCAGATACAATCCCGGATCCCCCAGAGCGGTAGTTACGCGCCTTGATCACTTCAATCGTTTCCCCGTAACTTTTATACTTTTACATTACAAAAATGATATTTATGACCAAATTAAACTTTAAAGTTTTTCTTTTAACCTGAAAATACCGCAAAAATATGCATATGCATGTAATTAATTTTCAATATCCGCTTTTGATATATCCAACGATTTCTTTAAAACGTATAAATAGATATAAGCGCAATTATAATTAATTCATTTTAATATTTATTAAAACTCCCACGCGGTTCGTATTTATTGAATAATTAATATAACGTACTTTACATTTTTTTTTTTACACGCCCCGTTAATGGCGGAATACGTAAACATCATTACTATTAAATTATCGTAAATAAGATAAAAGATAAAAAAATTAATTCAAATAAATTAACAAAATAAAATTTTTAATTTTTAATAAATATCGTCTGGCTTAAAAAGCAACAAAATACATATATATATAATTATAATTTTCGAAAATTGAGGGGGCGCTGATAGTAGCAGTCGACAATGACGTCATTGGGTTGGAAGTGAACGCTGTTTAGAACGCTGATAGAAGTTTTATTTCGGAAAAGAATTTAATCGCCGTTTTAGAGAAATAGCGAATTTCCATTCGTTATTTCTGTATAAATAATGGATTCGGACGAAGATGTTTTATACGGCAGCGATTCCGGTAACGAATCAACTGGCGAAGAAGATGACGGTTTATCAATCGGTTTGGAACCCGAACCAGCGACATCAAAAGACAAAATGGACATTGAAGAAGAATTTGTTTACGAAGTTTTAACAACAGAACAAATCGTGCAACACATGATCGATTGTATTAGAGAAGTCAATACCGTAGTACAGGTCAGTACATAAAAATGCTTCCACATTAATTCAATTATAACCATTTTTTTTATTATTATTTCATTATATTTTCACCTCGAAAAAAAAATTTCCGAATTAGTTATAATTAGAAACGTCTGCGTTATTCGTTAATGTCTTAACTTTCTCTTTTGTTAATGTTTAATTAATTAATTTTACGTAATTTAACGTAGAAAGTGATATTTAAAAAAATATATAATTGTTTTTTTTTTTGTTTAGTGTTTGTGAGTAAATGAATTCATTTTTATGTGGCAGTGGTCGGTTCACAAGTGCATTCTTGGTGTTTGTTAGCCTTGAGCGTTAACCAATCATGATTGGAAGGATTTGTGTGTCGTTCGAAAAATGATTATTGTTTTGCTGATTTTTGAGTGAATTCGAGCATTTTATTGCATTTTCTGGATGATTTTGGCTCTGTGGATTACGTCTTGAATCCGAGTCGAAATTGGTAAGCAAGCAAAAAGTAATAAATGAAATACCGAAATTTTATCGTTGTTATTTCTTTTGTTAGTTTTTGCCTGATTGCTGATTTTGATTTCGCTTTAAGACATAATTCATTTCTTTTATTAGTCGTGTAATTTTTGGCGTCAAGCATGTTTGTGGCTTTTGATGCGTAACTGGAGGACCGTATGAGCTGATAGAACGTTCTTGTTTGTTCTTTCCGTTGTTACAAGTGATCATTTGAATGAAATGCCGATTGCTCGTACAAAATTGGAGGATTACACCTTTTGGTGAATGTCCTATGGCAAGATTGAATGCTATGGAAATGGTAATTAATATCGTATTGAAGATTTTGATTACGGAGATTTTATTCAAATTTTCTGAGTTAAAGAGAATGATATGTTTTTATGTTTCGTTTCATGTAAAGATACGATGCCGAAATGTTTTACTTATTAGTTGGCATGTGAAATGTGAGGAAACTATTTTGTGTTGATAAAGTTGATAAGGATGGTATAAATGTGTTACAACAAACTGATTCTGTAGTAATGTTGTATGTTATTGCTTAAATGAAAGTTGTAAACTTGAATATTTTTAATAATTTTTAGCTGTTCTCAAATTTACTGAAAATTCTTCTTCAAAAATATCATTACAAATAAACTAGTGATAAGTGAGCTGAATGGATATGCTTAATTTTTGTTTTTCGTTCTGCTTGTGTTAGTACTTGATTTTTTCATAGTATTTTCATGGGCTATTAATATGAAAATTAAAAATTATTTGTGTAATTCATGTTTTCAATTACAATAAAAAGAAAAATGAAATAAAAATTTATTTTAATTTAACTTTTATTTCTATACTTTGATCTTTGTTCTGAAATTTTTTTTTTTTTNAAACTTAATAAAAAAAATATCTGCAACTTCAGAAAACACATATATATGAGAATCTATCAAAAAAAGTTAGTTAATAATAATTAAAATCAAGAAAAAAAAATAAAACTTTCGATGTAAGGTAATTTCTGTGGTAAAAAGTGAGGTAAGCGATCACGTGACGCCCGTCTCCCCATCGTCTGTAACCAAAACGCCCGAAGGTGAAATAAAAGCGGAACCACCAGTAGAAGTAAAAATAAACATCGATGCGTATCTAGGACTATATATTTGAACGGGAGCGAAGATGAAACACGACACTTTGTAATTTATGCTAATTACCTTCTAATATTAAACAATTAAAATCATCAACAAAATTATAACAAAATTAAAATTTTTTGACTGAATTCGACTACAAACATATAGTAGAACTGGATTAAAGTAAAAGTACCCGTTCTTCGACGCTAAATTTTTATTAAATAATTTTTTAAATTGGTGCCTAATTGACCGAGCGCGCGTAATTTAAATTTGATGGAGCACGCGCGTGCCGACGGGTTAAATAAAAGCCAAGATAGTTTTAAAAAAGTAAGTATATAAATATGAATGAACTTTATTTAAAAATTCTGTTTTCTAGTCTTTAATTCAACAAAATTATCAATTATTTTATCATAATTAATATTATCCAAAGCATTTTGTTCGATGTATAAAAAGCTAAAGAATTTAATTCTGATTCACTCAGTGAGTTTCGTAATTTTTTACACGTTTTAATACTGAGAATGACCTTTCACCAGATGCATTTAATATAGACAAAGCTAAATATATTCGCAATAATATTTCTATATTTGGAAATGTTGATACTAGTTTTGTGCTCTCTATAAATTGCAGCATATCAGATGGCAACGTTAATTTTTGGCTTTTGCAAATTAATTTAAATTGCAACAATTCCTCGTCCAATTCTTCTGTATCAATATCGCCAATGTACCATTTTTTTAGCAATGCAGTATTAATTGATACGTCCTCGTCGTCGCCGTCAGCTGTTTGTATGAAGAATTTTAAAAATTTCATCAATATCTTTCAAAATTGACAATTTAACCGGGCTCTTCTAAAAACCGCCCTAGACATTTGTCGAATTTGTCTATGCCAGTGTTTTTCAACCTGTGGGTCGCGACCCTCAGAGGGGTCGCAAAGCCTTATACGGGAGTCGCGGGTAGAAAGAAAAAGACAAGTGTTTGTAGGTCCTACACTACAAAAAAAAAAAAAAACTACAATTTCAGTGAGAAGGCTGTGCCTGTTTATTTTACAGTACAATTGGTTTTTGATCGACATTTAGGTCTCAACAGAAAGAAACTTAAATACGTAGTTTATAAAATCACTAACATAGTTTTAATATGGCCCTGGGAGTCGCCAGATTTTTTTAACTTGTAAAGGGCTCGCGTATTCAAGAAGATTAAAAAACACTGGTCTATGCGATGATCCGGCCCTGATTATGATGGAGAGAAAACAGAGTTTTGTTCATGACTCGAAGAAGATACACGGAATCGAATTTATAAACATTTTAATACGTTTATGCTTTTATTTTGACTTTCCATCCTTTAGGCACCAAAAAGGCCTTTTCTCCCTAATAATTACAGATTTGGCCAGACCTACGGGGGTCCAACATATCAAGAATAGACTACCCCGAAAAATTCCCAAAATTGTTTAGTCAGATACAATCCCGGATCCCCCAGAGCGGTAGTTACGCGCCTTGATCACTTCAATCGTTTCCCCGTAACTTTTATACTTTTACATTACAAAAATGATATTTATGACCAAATTAAACTTTAAAGTTTTTCTTTTAACCTGAAAATACCGCAAAAATATGCATATGCATGTAATTAATTTTCAATATCCGCTTTTGATATATCCAACGATTTCTTCAAAACGTATAAATAGATATAAGCGCAATTATAATTAATTCATTTTAATATTTATTAAAACTCCCACGCGGTTCGTATTTATTGAATAATTAATATAACGTACTTTACATTTTTTTTTTTACACGCCCCGTTAATGGCGGAATACGTAAACATCATTACTATTAAATTATCGTAAATAAGATAAAAGATAAAAAAATTAATTCAAATAAATTAACAAAATAAAATTTTTAATTTTTAATAAATATCGTCTGGCTTAAAAAGCAACAAAATACATATATATATAATTATAATTTTCGAAAATTGAGGGGGCGCTGATAGTAGCAGTCGACAATGACGTCATTGGGTTGGAAGTGAACGCTGTTTAGAACGCTGATAGAAGTTTTATTTCGGAAAAGAATTTAATCGCCGTTTTAGAGAAATAGCGAATTTCCATTCGTTATTTCTGTATAAATAATGGATTCGGACGAAGATGTTTTATACGGCAGCGATTCCGGTAACGAATCAACTGGCGAAGAAGATGACGGTTTATCAATCGGTTTGGAACCCGAACCAGCGACATCAAAAGACAAAATGGACATTGAAGAAGAATTTGTTTACGAAGTTTTAACAACAGAACAAATCGTGCAACACATGATCGATTGTATTAGAGAAGTCAATACCGTAGTACAGGTCAGTACATAAAAATGCTTCCACATTAATTCAATTATAACCATTTTTTTTATTATTATTTCATTATATTTTCACCTCGAAAAAAAAATTTCCGAATTAGTTATAATTAGAAACGTCTGCGTTATTCGTTAATGTCTTAACTTTCTCTTTTGTTAATGTTTAATTAATTAATTTTACGTAATTTAACGTAGAAAGTGATATTTAAAAAAATATATAATTGTTTTTTTTTTTGTTTAGTGTTTGTGAGTAAATGAATTCATTTTTATGTGGCAGTGGTCGGTTCACAAGTGCATTCTTGGTGTTTGTTAGCCTTGAGCGTTAACCAATCATGATTGGAAGGATTTGTGTGTCGTTCGAAAAATGATTATTGTTTTGCTGATTTTTGAGTGAATTCGAGCATTTTATTGCATTTTCTGGATGATTTTGGCTCTGTGGATTACGTCTTGAATCCGAGTCGAAATTGGTAAGCAAGCAAAAAGTAATAAATGAAATACCGAAATTTTATCGTTGTTATTTCTTTTGTTAGTTTTTGCCTGATTGCTGATTTTGATTTCGCTTTAAGACATAATTCATTTCTTTTATTAGTCGTGTAATTTTTGGCGTCAAGCATGTTTGTGGCTTTTGATGCGTAACTGGAGGACCGTATGAGCTGATAGAACGTTCTTGTTTGTTCTTTCTGTTGTTACAAGTGATCATTTGAATGAAATGCCGATTGCTCGTACAAAATTGGAGGATTACACCTTTTGGTGAATGTCCTATGGCAAGATTGAATGCTATGGAAATGGTAATTAATATCGTATTGAAGATTTTGATTACGGAGATTTTATTCAAATTTTCTGAGTTAAAGAGAATGATATGTTTTTATGTTTCGTTTCATGTAAAGATACGATGCCGAAATGTTTTACTTATTAGTTGGCATGTGAAATGTGAGGAAACTATTTTGTGTTGATAAAGTTGATAAGGATGGTATAAATGTGTTACAACAAACTGATTCTGTAGTAATGTTGTATGTTATTGCTTAAATGAAAGTTGTAAACTTGAATATTTTTAATAATTTTTAGCTGTTCTCAAATTTACTGAAAATTCTTCTTCAAAAATATCATTACAAATAAACTAGTGATAAGTGAGCTGAATGGATATGCTTAATTTTTGTTTTTCGTTCTGCTTGTGTTAGTACTTGATTTTTTCATAGTATTTTCATGGGCTATTAATATGAAAATTAAAAATTATTTGTGTAATTCATGTTTTCAATTACAATAAAAAGAAAAATGAAATAAAAATTTATTTTAATTTAACTTTTATTTCTATACTTTGATCTTTGTTCTGAAATTTTTTTTTTTTTTTTTAAATTATAGAATAATTAGAATTATACATTGAGTGTTACATGTAAATATGTAACACTCAATGTATAATTCTAGTTATTGTAAATTTGTATGTTCATATAAAGTAAAACAACAAACAATAATTTAGACAAAAGTGGTTAATTCCAGGTAGGATCTAAATCTCTGACCTTTAGATTTCAAATGTATTACTCACACTTTATGAATATTAAGTATTGTTTTTTCTTAAAATAAAAATTAGAACTAAGTTGCAAATTGTATATACATTATAAATGTATATAAAACAGTTTATCTTTTTAGTAAAATGAATTTAAAAATATATCCTTTTGTTTAAAGGTTATTTAGAATTTTACACTTAAAAAAATAATGATATTGATTAGCAAAACTGTAATAATTTCCTTATAATTAATTTCCTCTTATAATTTTTAAAAATTATTTTCCTAGTTATTGAAGACTTAATTTTAATGGTATTTTCTTTTGTAATAAGAATTACTGTATTTTCAAATATTAAAAAAATTTATAAAATTTATTACTCTGTTTTCTAGAATAATTTTTTATTTCATATATTTAGCATAAAACGTATTCTAGGAATAGATCTATTTTGATGGATTAGTACTGATCTGAAGAAGGAAAAAAAAATTTTATTGCAATAAACCTTAATCATGTAATGTTTTAATGTGTAACAACTCCATATTTAAATTAAAATTCGAAACTTTATTTATGAGTTTTCTTTTTTTATATACTTAATTCATGTAATTGATTTTGAGTTTTTTTAATTGTATAATTTTCTTTTTTTAGTTTAGTTTTTTAATATCAAAATATGATCCTGTAAATGATTCTCTGAAGCAGAGATTTAGAAAATTAGCTGAAAAACTTGAAAAAGAAGTGAATAAAATTTGTGATTCTGACTTTTTATCATACTCTGCTTTATTGAAAAAGCTCATGATAGTAGCAGTCGACAATGACGTCATTGGGTTGGAAGTGAACGCTGTTTAGAACGCTGATAGAAGTTTTATTTCGGAAAAGAATTTAATCGCCGTTTTAGAGAAATAGCGAATTTCCATTCGTTATTTCTGTATAAATAATGGATTCGGACGAAGATGTTTTATACGGCAGCGATTCCGGTAACGAATCAACTGGCGAAGAAGATGACGGTTTATCAATCGGTTTGGAACCCGAACCAGCGACATCAAAAGACAAAATGGACATTGAAGAAGAATTTGTTTACGAAGTTTTAACAACAGAACAAATCGTGCAACACATGATCGATTGTATTAGAGAAGTCAATACCGTAGTACAGGTCAGTACATAAAAATGCTTCCACATTAATTCAATTATAACCATTTTTTTTATTATTATTTCATTATATTTTCACCTCGAAAAAAAAATTTCCGAATTAGTTATAATTAGAAACGTCTGCGTTATTCGTTAATGTCTTAACTTTCTCTTTTGTTAATGTTTAATTAATTAATTTTACGTAATTTAACGTAGAAAGTGATATTTAAAAAAATATATAATTGTTTTTTTTTTTGTTTAGTGTTTGTGAGTAAATGAATTCATTTTTATGTGGCAGTGGTCGGTTCACAAGTGCATTCTTGGTGTTTGTTAGCCTTGAGCGTTAACCAATCATGATTGGAAGGATTTGTGTGTCGTTCGAAAAATGATTATTGTTTTGCTGATTTTTGAGTGAATTCGAGCATTTTATTGCATTTTCTGGATGATTTTGGCTCTGTGGATTACGTCTTGAATCCGAGTCGAAATTGGTAAGCAAGCAAAAAGTAATAAATGAAATACCGAAATTTTATCGTTGTTATTTCTTTTGTTAGTTTTTGCCTGATTGCTGATTTTGATTTCGCTTTAAGACATAATTCATTTCTTTTATTAGTCGTGTAATTTTTGGCGTCAAGCATGTTTGTGGCTTTTGATGCGTAACTGGAGGACCGTATGAGCTGATAGAACGTTCTTGTTTGTTCTTTCTGTTGTTACAAGTGATCATTTGAATGAAATGCCGATTGCTCGTACAAAATTGGAGGATTACACCTTTTGGTGAATGTCCTATGGCAAGATTGAATGCTATGGAAATGGTAATTAATATCGTATTGAAGATTTTGATTACGGAGATTTTATTCAAATTTTCTGAGTTAAAGAGAATGATATGTTTTTATGTTTCGTTTCATGTAAAGATACGATGCCGAAATGTTTTACTTATTAGTTGGCATGTGAAATGTGAGGAAACTATTTTGTGTTGATAAAGTTGATAAGGATGGTATAAATGTGTTACAACAAACTGATTCTGTAGTAATGTTGTATGTTATTGCTTAAATGAAAGTTGTAAACTTGAATATTTTTAATAATTTTTAGCTGTTCTCAAATTTACTGAAAATTCTTCTTCAAAAATATCATTACAAATAAACTAGTGATAAGTGAGCTGAATGGATATGCTTAATTTTTGTTTTTCGTTCTGCTTGTGTTAGTACTTGATTTTTTCATAGTATTTTCATGGGCTATTAATATGAAAATTAAAAATTATTTGTGTAATTCATGTTTTCAATTACAATAAAAAGAAAAATGAAATAAAAATTTATTTTAATTTAACTTTTATTTCTATACTTTGATCTTTGTTCTGAAATTTTTTTTTTTTTTTTAAATTATAGAATAATTAGAATTATACATTGAGTGTTACATGTAAATATGTAACACTCAATGTATAATTCTAGTTATTGTAAATTTGTATGTTCATATAAAGTAAAACAACAAACAATAATTTAGACAAAAGTGGTTAATTCCAGGTAGGATCTAAATCTCTGACCTTTAGATTTCAAATGTATTACTCACACTTTATGAATATTAAGTATTGTTTTTTCTTAAAATAAAAATTAGAACTAAGTTGCAAATTGTATATACATTATAAATGTATATAAAACAGTTTATCTTTTTAGTAAAATGAATTTAAAAATATATCCTTTTGTTTAAAGGTTATTTAGAATTTTACACTTAAAAAAATAATGATATTGATTAGCAAAACTGTAATAATTTCCTTATAATTAATTTCCTCTTATAATTTTTAAAAATTATTTTCCTAGTTATTGAAGACTTAATTTTAATGGTATTTTCTTTTGTAATAAGAATTACTGTATTTTCAAATATTAAAAAAATTTATAAAATTTATTACTCTGTTTTCTAGAATAATTTTTTATTTCATATATTTAGCATAAAACGTATTCTAGGAATAGATCTATTTTGATGGATTAGTACTGATCTGAAGAAGGAAAAAAAAATTTTATTGCAATAAACCTTAATCATGTAATGTTTTAATGTGTAACAACTCCATATTTAAATTAAAATTCGAAACTTTATTTATGAGTTTTCTTTTTTTATATACTTAATTCATGTAATTGATTTTGAGTTTTTTTAATTGTATAATTTTCTTTTTTTAGTTTAGTTTTTTAATATCAAAATATGATCCTGTAAATGATTCTCTGAAGCAGAGATTTAGAAAATTAGCTGAAAAACTTGAAAAAGAAGTGAATAAAATTTGTGATTCTGACTTTTTATCATACTCTGCTTTATTGAAAAAGCTCATTTACACTAAATATTTTAATATTCTAAATAGTTAATTTTTTTGGATTTATATATTTAATGATCAGCTGAAGGACTTGAAAAGTACATAATACAACTATTTTAGCTCTGTAATAAAGAGGGTATAGTTAAATTTGATAATTGGAGATTATTTACATTCAAAATTAAATTAACTTTTTAATTATTTTATTGTATTATATCTTTAACTAAAATTTTAAAAAATAGTCACTTCAGCATATTTTTATTCAGTATACTTTTTTGTTCATAATTTTATACAGAACAAATATTTATTAAAAAGTAATTAAACTTTTCATAAATAAGACTTATTAAATGTAATATTTAATTGTATGATTTTGATGTGCTTAATTTCAAACAATTATAACATTTGTCGTATATTTTACCTTATTTCATAATGCTAAAATATTTATAATTTGCTATAGTTAATAATAGAAAGCTTTAAAACTAGATTAAATTTGTTTTAATCTATTAAACTACCTTTCAGAGAAGTTTTTAAATTGAATTAATTACATTTTGATGATCCGATGGCTTTAAAGTATGGATTAAGTTATTTTAAATTAATGGAATGTTTAGACATACAAGTTCATTTACAATAAATAAATCACTCAATATTTAATTGAATAACAGGATTTACTTGAAGATTTTTTTCCATTGAGTTTGATCACATGTTAAATCAAAATTCTTTTATTTAATAAGTCAAATAGAATGTTCTTAGTATATAGAATGTTGTATTTTAATACTAATTTTGCATTATGTATGTACAGTCAACCCCCCTATAACATGGGTTCCTATAGTTTGGATTCCTATATCACGGCGAAAAAATTGCGACAGTATTTGTACAAACATGTTAAAAAAAACTCCTATAATTCGGTAATCATCGCCGACTCGTGTCACGACAGGATTGCACAAACAGTTTAGTTTAAATGAGCAGCGAACCTACCAAAAACTATTTATTATTTAATGTCCATAAAAATTATATTTATATTAATGATGTCTTTAAAGTTCAGCGAATTTTTCGCAAAAAAAAATAATTTATCAGGAAGCACGTGAGCGCCATTCAATGACAATCTCCACAACGAAAACAAGCTTAAGCAACGGCGTAGTCGAACGGTGCACACTTGGTAAGTAATCCTACAATTTTTTGTTTATAGCATAGTTTATATGGATTATTCCCAAAAAATTATACGTATTTTGGAAATGTTGCATCTAATTAGTCTAGAATCGATTAATTTTATGGAAGAAACCTTTCAAACAGCCGTAGTCTGTAAACTGCATACGTGCCGGCTGTGATTGGCTGGACTCCTAGAAGCTGTATTCATAAAAACAGGAACATATCTACCATGTAAAAGGGGGGTCGACTGTATTTATTTAATATTCAATGAAATAATAAGTATTATCAGTTGTACACAAATACCACAAAGATATATGTTTTGCATTTTTTTTAAACTAAAATTACAGAACTTTAGGTGTTAATTTTCAGCTAAAAACATAGAAAAGTAAAAATACTCACACAGCTATATACAGATATAAAAAATATTTATATAAAGAACATTTTTGGCTTTTCATGAGCTATCTTCAGTTAACAAATTGAATGAAATCAAACATTGATTTTTAACTGTTTGTTTAATGGAATATAACATCCAAATGCAGAAATTTAAAATTATTAATATTTTTTTAAATGTATAGAATGAAATAAGTGTGATTTTAAACTGTGTATTAAACCTAAAAAATTCTTCTGTCATGTGCCTCCTAAAGACAGTTAAGAACAAATTAGGTGCTCTAAGTCAGGAATATATGTAATAGGGTTTTCTAAATTGAAAGTTTATTTTTAACATAGTATCAACAAAAAGATCAATTGAAATAAGAGTTAGAGAATATTATAGGTCACTAGCAAAGTTCAGTATGAAGGAGATACTCCTCGATAAAGGGATATGGCAAGATGATGATCATTTCCTTATAAAGAATAGCATATGCTGCTATTCTTTATCAGGCTGCTAGAATGGTTATACATTTATGGTTTATCACAGTGTCTAAACATTATAAATGCTAATGTTACAAAGTGATTACAGGAATGTTGGAATTCTCTTCCATTTTTTAAAAATTGTGTTAACAAGAAGAAAAGAGAAATAAGATAATTTCCAATATTGAATAACAAAGGTTTGTTTTAGACTCAGTTACATTTTCCTTCTGTTTACAGTGTGAGGCAAAAGCAAGATTTAATTGCTAAAGGGCAGTTATGTGATTTTATGCTTTTTTAAACTTTGCTGCCAAGTTAGGCTTGGGTTGATTGATATTGGATTACAAAACTCCTTTTTATAGGCTAATATACATTTTATCACATTTCATTCTATGCATTCTTTTAAAAATAATTTTAGACTTCTGTGTTCAAATGATATGTTTCATTGAACAATGGTTAAAAATTGATGTTTTGATTTTGTTCAATTTGTAAACTGAAGATGGTTCAAATGGGGCCAAAAATATTCTTTTAAATAAATATTTTTTGGTATCTGTTTAAAGCAATGTGAGTATTTTAATGGCCAAAATTGCACCAAGTTTTATACACTGTGAAGATACAGAAAAAATATTTTAAAAAAATGGATGTACTGGTAAGCTCATACAGAATATTTTGCACAAAATAAAATTGAAAAATTAAAGGAATCAATTATTGATGAAATTAAAAGACAGTTAATGATAATATTATAT